TAATGCAGAACACCATGAAATTCCAAAAGGTTCACATACTTTTTCTTGCAACTGTATATTTGTGCTCTCCTACATCCCATGCTGTCTCCTGGGCAAAACAACTAAGCACCACAATAATCAGGGATACTGAACTTCAGAACAAAGGATTTACAAGTTCAGAATCCATGAGTAAATGTCTAGTTCTCTCACATGCATACCTCAGGCTGCCCTATCTGGCTATAAAGACTAATCTTGAGTCTCTATGCCACAATTCCAAATTTTCTTAGATGGAAAAATACAAATTAATGTGGAGATGTTAGCAGAAGCAGGAAATATTTTTTTAAATCTACCACATTCATTAAGGTAACAAGCCATTAAAGAACTGTTGCTTACTTGAATTTGTTTCTCTCTTCACGTTCTATTCTTTGCAGCCTCTCCTCTCTCTCCTGACGTCTCCTTTCTCTTTCCGCTGCCAAGGACTCTTGGTGTTGCCTATATGATGATGTAAGGAGACCACCCAAAGATGCCCTATACATGAAGAAGAAATATTCACAGTTTTTAAATAAACCATTGCCTGATTTATTTTTTCTTAAAGAAAATTTGTTAATTAAATCATGTATACTGTAGACTATTCTTTAAGCAGCTATTGCATCCCTAAATAGTATTATGTCCTTTGTTATTTACAATAATGCTTTCCTAGCTCTTACTAAAAGATGAATAAGCAATTGCATATCCTCTAATTGGACTTAGATTTTAAGTAAGAAAACTGCCTTAAGTAAATTAAGAAAAGTAATTTATCCAATTCTCTATGATAAATCATTACACATTATTTTACTGATTTAGTAGAGAATTCCCATTCCCATTCCCTTAATATTCCCTCCAATGTGTGAACAATGTAATATTTAATTATATTTCCAAATATAATTAACTCCTCCATAGATGTGGGTCAGCAATTTGAGAGAAGTCACCAATTATCTGGTCTGTGAGACTTAAAAGCATATCTTCAGACATCTGTATCATTATTGTTTTAAATCATTTACAAGTAGTGATGTAGTGTAGTGATGTACAGTACAAGTAGGAAAGACTGGTACTTTGTACCACGAGTCGAATATCATCATGCAGAATAGAAGACACCACATGATAACTTATAACTAATATTTGTAAATATATACTATAAAAGATAGTTAAAAGTGGGTTTTTTTGAGTTCTAAAGTATTCATTCAATCATTATCCACTGGGGACTTAATAGGATGATACTTCCCTTGGCCAAACCCCGAAGAGGTGAGAATGGACATGTTCAGCTGTCACTTTGTCTTGTATATACTGTCCACCTACAGTGGTGTTTTAAAGTTTGTTAATCTTTTGAATTTTCGACTTCCAGTGAGAAATGGCCATGCACTAGGCTCTCCTTTTCAAGCGGAGAGTCATCTTCAAAGACTTTTTAGGCTCAGGTAGGCTTCCTGGAGCCTGAAGAATTCTCTGAATCCAAGGAGAATCCTAGAAATTGTCCCATACGACCTCTGGACAACTTTTCACAGCCAGAAGACCTCGAAATGGAGACTTTCGGGATCAACTGGTGAGTGATCAGCTGGGGGGCAGGGTTACCATCAAGTTCCAAGATGCAAAGAAGCCAAAAACAGACAAACAAAAAACTGGACACTTGTGCTGACCTCATCATTTCTAAAATCACTTTTTTTTCTTTTTTACTTCTACATAGTTAAAGAGAGGCTTTGTTTAGTTACAGTGTATTTTTTTCTTTTGGCTACTATAGGTGCTCTATGGAAAGATTTTACTTTCTTTTTTTGATTAGGATAAATAGTTTTGTATATTCAGCAAAAAAAAAAGGCAAAGGCTTGGATTTTTTATTGGATTTTAAGTAACGAGAAAAGGAATTCTTTTTTTTTTTTTTGGTGAATCTGCACTTGGGTTTGTGATATTGGAATGCGGATATGGGAATGTGTGAATTCTGCTTTGTTTTCTTACTTAATTGGTGCTGACTGGGGAGGAATTTTAAATAAGATAAAGGGACTTTCTTCCTTTCACTGTTTACTTTGGACAGAATGTAATTTGTATTTCTGACACTAGATAGCACTATTGACCATGGCTATTAAGAGAGCAAACTGCAGAGATGAGTGTTTCAAGATGATGTTTCAAAACTTTGCAGAAAAAATAATTCAATCCCTGGAGGATAAATTTGATAATTTGAACAAGAAACTCGATGCTAAATTAAACGAGGCTGCTGATGTGAGACAAGTCAAACAGAAGTTGGGTATCTTGGAGAATAATATAGATAATAAAGATATGGAGGAAGTATAGAGGAAGAAAGAGATATGGATATTTTACTGGACTTTAAAGAAAAAGAATCTTATTTTGGACTTACAGTTACTTTGGATCAGTCTAACAATGATACTGTTTTGGATTTACAAAAAGAACATTATAAATCACTGAGAGATAAAGGGCACTTATTGAAGTGGTTCCTGAAAGACGACAAGGGGAAAATAATAAAGATTCAACTTGTGGGGCACTGTTTGGCAGGTTTAAAAAATTAATTCTTTAAAAGTAAACAGAACTTGGATCAGTCTAATAATGACATTATTTTGGATCTACAAAAAGAAGGTCTTAAACTACTGAAAGTTAATGTATTGAAGTTGCTCCTGAAAGAAGAAGACAAGGAGAAAATAATAAAGTCTCAATATGTGGGGTACTATCTATTAGGATTAAAGAATGAATCTCTTAAAAGTAAACAGAAAGTGTATAAAGTAAATCTGTTTGATTATGGTTAAAAAATAGGCTGTGGTTTCATGATTAATGGCAATTTTTTGGAACCAGGACTGTATTGTGATGTTATTAAGATTACTGCTGCTTAATAGTAGTACAAATGAATATAGGTTGTGACTCCTAATAGTTATTAGATGGGTTTCTTGTTGATTAGGACTGACTGAGGAAGTTACTAGGATTATATAGGGGAATGTTAGTGGGAAATATAAGTGATATTTCTATTACCTTTGGGAAGGAATGATGGTATATGACAATACTACTGAGATTTTTATATGCACATAGATGACAAAACACAGAGATATTTACAATTGGACATTAATGGCAGTGGCAGAGACGGTGACATAATGTATTGAGATTAAAAAATGGGGGGGGGTTAGCCTTGCTTTTGTTTGGAAATTGCTTTTGGTTTTCTTTTTTGCTTGGGATTGTAAAATGCCATGTTGACTTGCGGATTTGACAATTATTAGATTTTAGGATTAGAGAAGTATTTTTTTTATGTTCTTAGAGTAAAAGATGTATACATTCTATATTCTCTGCAACAGAGAAAGTCAGAAGTCACCTATTCTTTCTCTCTTTTCCTTTTCCTTTTCTGCACTTTTAATTTTTTTCCTTGAATTTTTCTGTTTGTTTTTTCTGTTTCCTTACATTTTATTCTTTATTGAAAATCAATAAATAAAACCTTTTGAATTTTCACTATTTCTCCATAAATATGACCTGGATCATTTTCCTCAATGAACAAGTACAATGTTTTTGACTCATTTGTTTAATTGGGTTCTCTTTATGTAGCTTTAGGACTTGTGTGGAAGACATATCATGTTTTAAGTTATATTTATGCAGAAATATTGAAAATTCAAAAGGGTTCATGAATTTTTAAGCACCACAGTATATTATGTGAATACAACTTTATTGTCAAACCCATTCAGTGTATAGTCACTAGACTGTTCCAGAATCATACAATCATAGAGTTGGAAGAGACCTCAGATCTCATTAATTCTGCCTCTTGCTCAGTGCAGGATCTGCTAAAACATTTTGGACAGATGGCTATCCAGCCTGATTGAAGACCTCCAGGCGACACTCCTAATAATGCAACCCATTCCATGGGCTACTAGGTTTTACAGTAAGAAAAATCCACCTAATACCCAACCCAAATCTATCTCTGTGCAGTTTCAACCATTAGTTCCTATCTGCCTCTGTGGGGAAACAGGGAAGAAATCTAGTTGACCTATACATTTTAGACTGAACATGAGTCCATTTTAGATGTTCTGTTCCAGAATGGATGTATGGGGGTGGTAGAAGCAAGACAGCACATCAAATTTATAGAAAACTCATATGCATAATCACTACTCTCAAAACAATGAACTTGATCAGATAAGAGATATTGTCTATCAAGAGGTATGTGCAGACTTTAACTCACGTTCACAGTAAACATCACAAAAATAGCACAAGCTTAAATACAGGTAGTCAAACATTTAAATAATTGAATGCTATGAAATATTAAAAGCAAGTGTCAAATGCTTATCAGCAATCTTAGTGTTTTTGAACTCAATGGCTACCATAGTTGGGCACTGATCTAGCAAACAACTAGTGAGTGCAGTTTTAATTCTATCTTGTAAAATAAAAAGACTAGAGAAATGCTGAGATGAAAAAAGGTGAGTACATTTCATAAACATTTTTGCTCCCATGAAATGCGCCTCTCTGGATCTTTTTTTTTTTTTTTTTAAAATTCCTTCTGTTTGTTGGGAAAAAGGCCAATATAGTTTAGGCAGAAAATAGATTGAAAAGTATACTTGGAGTTTCCAGTGGTTTACTTGAAATTCTCTTCCCCTTTCTTTTTGGAGTGCCATGTTATGAACTGGCATTGCCTTTTTAGGTTAATCAGTGGTTCCATAGTTGTGTATATCTTCAAAAAGTACTATATCTATAGTATCTAGTAAAATCTTATGAAAATTCTTCCCATCTTCACAGACCAATTTCAAAAGAAAACTGTTTTTATCTTAATACTAAATCTTTCCTGTAAGATGTATCTTCATGTATATATTTGTGTGTGTGCTGCTTTAAGTTCTTTACTATACATTTTAAACTAAGGACATTCCTATAAGTTTCTATGGGTTTACTATCCCTAGCGTTTCTGTGTGCTTCTTTTCTTCCTCCTCCTCCTCTTCCTCCTCCACTTTTACAGACAGGTCTGAATTGCCCACACTTAGCTAGCCCTGTCCTTAGCTGGTCTCCCAGCTGTGATCCTTTGCTCCTCCTTTGGCTGTCCTGGTTACAGGCTGGCATTTTCGGTCACTGATCAACATAAGATGATGACAATCTACAACATCCCAACATAAACAGTCTACCCTATATGTGCTGTGGAAGAATAATTAAAATTTAGAATTACTAATGCAACTGTAAAATCACAATGTCACTAAAATACTAAGATTAAGATTATGGGAACTACAGTGGCATGATATAAATGCTAATATGCAAAAAAAAAAAAAAAAAGGAAAAATAGCTAGAAATCAGAATTACTAACCGAAGAATATAAAATTACTGTATCACTGAAATCTACAAGGAAAATTATAATTAATGTTGATATTAAACCTGTGAGTATAAAATAGCGTGATATAAATTCTACTATATAAAAACAATAGCAGTAAAAGTTATAAGGCTAAACAACTAGAAATAAAGCACACTAATAGAAATTTACTTTGAATGCATTATATGATGATCTAGCTCTCTGGAGAAGACTCTGATGCTGGAAAAGG